GTTCTGCCTTCATGTAGCACCTGACAAGTTAACAGAAGAAAGTGGGAGAAAAGAGTAAATTTTGAGGATATATTCAACATCCAAGGAGCTCCAGGGAATATTAGCACATGCACACACACACACACACACACACACACACAATATCCCTTCAGGTAAGAAGCATATACCTGTGTCTCTGTGTTGACCTTTATTTCAAATAATTCTGAAGTTACCTGCCTTAAAAAGTCTTCCATGGTTCTTCTCAGCAAACTGTCAACTACTTGTAAAAGGCAAATTCAAAAAAATCAAGCAAGGAGAACATGAATTTTATCAACACTAAAAGCTGGCAAGGAGTACTTAGCTTCCCTCAAACATCAGAGATTTCCTTGTAGACACGACATTTCTATCACGTCTTTAACGCTCACCAGGTGCTTTGCCTTAGCGCGTTCCTCCTCGCTTGATATCCTCTCCCGAAGAATAGCTCTGGTTAACTGCTCATTGGCGAAAGCCCTCTCTCGGTCCAGTTCTTTACTCTGCTTTAGTCTGAAAAGACAAAAGAAGGTCTAACTTATTTAAAAAAAAAAAAAAAGATTTTATTCGTTGACATTATTTTTTAATGAAATACGTAAATAAAAAGAGCTGAACTCATCTTAGCCTATAGTTTATCAAGAGCCAGTATAGTTCCTAGCAAATCCCCATACAGCCTTTACCCGAGCATTTAAAATAACAATTAAGACAAGTGAAGTTTATTAATTTGACTGCTAGACTAGTTTTACAAAGGTTTTCTTATGTGCAACTGAAGTCTGCCCACCTAAAAATTTCATCCCTGGTGCCTCTGTCTGCTCTCTGGAGATATAAGTAATAAATCTAATTAACAAGCCTGTCTCTTCCCCTCAAAACTGGCTCAAATCAAATGTTTGCTGAACACGCAGCCAGCACTAAGGGAGGCACTGATGACATGGTGCTGAACAACAAGGCCGTGTTCCTGTCCTCATAGATCTTATATTACAGCAGAAAACTAAAAACACAGTTTAGATGTCTTCCCTCCTGGCGAATTACTCCCATTTTCCAACAGTCCTCACATGCAAAGTTGGCCAGACCTTTCAACAGCAGGGCTCGTCACCTCTGGAACAACTCCGGTTTGTCCCTTAGGTCCGAGCTAAATGTAACTTGGCAGACATATTCTAGTAAAAGAGAACAGCAGAACGGCACCCCCAAGACCTCCACACCATGCCAGTTCTATTAATGAAGCATCAGATTGCATCAGGTTTATCCGTAACCCCATCACACAATTAGATCATATTAAATTGCAATCCACCAAAACCCCTCATTGTGCATGAAAAAGATAAATTATTTTGGCACTGATCTTCACCACAGTGCCTGGCACATGAGGGTATTCAGTGATCGCTGAATGAGAGTACATTTCAGTCTAATCTCCTGAACAAAGATTTTCTGATTGCCTTTTCTTCTTGGAGAGAATAACCCCTCTCTACCATCAAATTCCCAAAGGTAAAAGTGATGCTTTGAAAAGGTAAAATTATTATGTTGGTATAAGTGAAATTCTGAGTGAAATCTGCCTTCTAAGTGGGAATGATGAGCACCAAATTGAACTCGATACTAGTCTATCAAATTTTAGTTTTAAAAAGATACTTGAAAAGAGCAAAAGAAAATAAAACTTTCTGTTACTATTTTTGAATTGCTACATCATCCTGATGCCCTGTAATTCTCAGAAATCAATTATAACAGATAAAATCACCTTGTAAAATATATTCCAGTTATAATACTTTCCCCCTAAAGATTAAACCTGCATGTTTTTGTGTCTTGAAAAAAGATGAATAATAGAAACAAATTAAAATCTGCACTTTGAAATTCCTTAACGCAAAAGTAACCACTAGGAAATTTCATAGGCAATAAGCACAATTACACTTACACAAACCAAATTTCTCAATCTTACATCCGAATACATTTCACAATAAATTCAACAACATCATAATTTAAAACGTTAACTCACTGGAAATGTATGATTATAAGAGAATGACATGTTATTTCCCTAGAGTGGCGGTTCTAAAAGTGTGGGTCACTACTAGCTGCAGCATCGCCTGGAAACCTGTTAGAAATGCAGATTCTCAGACCCTATCCACACCTGTTGAATCAGAAACTTAGGGAGAAGGAGTGGGCAGCGAACTGTCTTTTCATAAGCCCTGATGCATCGGAAAGTCTTGAGAAACATGGCCTTCGATTACCAAAATATATTTTTACCTAAATAAATCCTGGAGATACATAAAAGGAGAGTAACATCAAAAATAAAGTGGTCCACATAAGAATATTGTACTGATAATTGCTGAGGTTACTGAATCAGATTAGCAAACTGTGCAGTGAAAGCATTTTTACCAGCATATCACCTGCAAGGAAAAGATATTATCTATTTTACATTTGAGGTGGAAACTAAAATACTAAAAACTACTATCATTTATGAGTCACCTACTAAATGCCCAGCACTGCACTATGCTCATAAGGCACTTTACATACACATGTAAAACTACGATAAAAATTATTAGTTCATGAGCATAAAATGAATTCTATACGATGAAATTTTCTCACATCTACTTTGGTATACCAAATTTTAAAGTATTGTTTATTTTAATAACCACTTTTTTTTTCTGAGTTTATTTGTACAAGGCATAAATTTGAATTACGAATGGAGTTAAAAGTGGCTCAACTTTTAAGAAATATCATAAAGTTTTGGCAGGTTAATGAAAAAGCAGCAAAAACATGAGCACAAAAGCCTTCAGTGCTATAATAAAAAATAAAGGTTCTTCAGCTTACAACACTTGGTACAGATGCACCGACTCTGGAGTTTGACTCCTGGGTCCAAATCAAGGCTCTACCACTTACTGGCTGAGAAGTAATTCTTGTTAACCTGAATCTTGCTCTTCTCCTGAGAAAAATGGATTGATGTAATACTTACCTCATAGGGTTCTATATACACAAAGCACTTAGCACAATGCCTATAAGAATAAGCACTCCACATGTTAGGTAAGTAGCAGCAGTAATAATAGTACCCACTATGGGGTTGGGAATCCAGAAAAGGCAGTGATGTCCTGAAAAAGAGAAAATCTCCAGATTCACCCAACACGCAGTGACCACATACAGCTTTGTCTTCTCTGCTTTCCCCTCCTCCCCCCCCAGTTTTCACCCAAAAGTTCTGCTTTATTTTTATTATCTTCAAAGGCTTCTAAAATCAAAACTTGACAATGACCCAGCAGCCCTATCTTATCACAGGGTCCTTTACTTCTTCCCCACCTGCCTATACGCTCTGTGAGGACCAGTTTTTAGTTCGCTGTATCATCCCCAATGCTTTTAACGGTGCCTGCCACAAAATAAGTGCTCAATGAATACTTGCTGAATCCACGCATGCATAAAGGAATGAATGGCATATTTCCAACCACAGACAAAAAATGAAAAACTAGCTGCAGAAAACAGAAGACTGCGGGATTTAAGAAACAACCAGAAGACAAGATGAACCTTGCCAAGGGCCAATCTATAAGTGTCACAAGTGTGATCGGATCCCAGTCTTCACTAAATCACTTAAAACAGAAGGATGTTATAATATTTGCATTATAGAAAGCTGTTCTATATTTCACAATATGAGAGCCTCTGGAATATCGATGCCTAACTGTGCTTAGTTCTTGGCTGCAGAGAGATTGACAGTGGTGGAAACTGACTAAAAGGAAAATTGTCTTCCCTTCTTAATAAATTTTTACAGTTATTTTCATTTATCCTTACGAACAGACCTGCATCCTTAGGAGCCTGGCAGTAGGACCTAGAACGAATTCTCATCACCTACCAGCAACTTAGCTGCACATCTAATAAACTTCAGTTCTCCCAGCTTTAAAATTTGAAGGTTGAACTATATAATGTCAAGGTCCCTTGCAGTTAAAAGTTTTGCAAACATCATACATTAAATATATTATTCCTCATTCCTTAAAAACTCTCAAGAAAGGTGGTGGCAGGGAATAAATGAAACAAAGAAGTATTTTCTCCAAATTTTATACTTTTCATTCAATGGGCATTCAATTTCTAGTCTCATCCTTAGAGTTTCCTATTGCTTGATAAAAACTATATGCTAAGTAAGAATAAACAGACTCACAAATTCATTCAATATAATTAGTGGGTGACAGACAGTATTCTGATTACTGAGAACAAAATGACAAGAAAAGAGACACAGTCCCTACCCTTATGAAGCTCAAACTCTGATAAATGCATTATTTGTAAAAACACAAGGCTATGAAACTATATGGGTGGGAGATGATATCTGAAATGAAATCTAACATATTAACTGAGCAACATGGGGAAGGAGAAAGTGTCTCAGCTGAGACACCAGCTGGGTCCAGAATCACTGAGAAAGGATTTTCTAGAGTTCTGTGACTGCTGTTTCAGATACCAAAGGTTGGCAGATCTAGAGTCACTGAGGGAAGACTCTTAAAACACACACACACACGTACACGATTATCAATACAAATTAATGCAAGGCTTGAAAGGATCCACTGAAGCTTAAATCTGCCTTTGCATTTTAGAAAATTTTAGAACACAGTTTTGTTTTCTTTCAAATTATTTTGGAGGGCCGTTTCAGATAAAGGGTATAACTAATTGAGGGTTCCTTTTTTACTTTAGAAGTAAAAGCAACAGATTAGAAATTTCTAAATTATATTATTTCTCATTTCCCCAACTCTCCCCTCCACAAAATTCATTTACAGCAATATTTTCTTCTAATAAGTTTCCTCTTTCACTGAGTCATTTAGGTCATTTAACAAATACGACTACTCTGCAAAGAACATCTGTTTGTATTCTCAGAAGCTCCTAATTCTTTTCAAAGCTTCCTCTCAGGTGCCCTTGGTTTTACAAACCATCAAACTATTCTATTCAGTGGCCATGTATGGAAGGTGGACGTCTGCATGATCAACCAATTTTTCTCTTATTTTGAGCCGAATGAGATGACCCTGCTTGCTGGGCCTCACTGAAAGCTACCCAACCAGTGCTGGAGGCTCCAAATCAGAAGCCAGGTTGTTCTGTAAACACTGCACAGGGCAATGAAGAGTGAGCGCCCGCTGACAGAGAAAGAAGGCAACACTTCGCTTTTACAAGGTCCCTGTTAGGTGAAAAGAAGGTGAGAGATAAAATAAGTTTCATTATTAGCTTAGATTTCCAAAGATTTAAGAATTATCTCAAAATAAAAGTAAACATACCGAGTATCTTGGAGAATACATTCCCTTTTATTTATTGGCATTTCCCACTTAATATTTCAGATCTGTCGGTCTAATAGTATTCAACATTAAGCCCGTGATTTAAGTTTCATTTAAACTTCCTTCTTTTAAATACATATCTCTCCTCATTTAAATTCTCTAGAGTTTTAAGCAAAGAAGCAGGAATTTAGAGTAAACTTTTCTTATTTGCATTAAGTAATTGGATAGCTTGCCTAAGCTTAATGAAACAAATACCAGTCAGCGCTGCCCTTACACCGCAAGCCCTAGCAACTTAGCTCT